CCCCCCCCCCCCCCCCCTATGCTAGGGGCCCGGGCCAGAAAATTGGTACCAGGGCCCGAGATGGGATGTGGCGGGCCTGGCTCGTAAAAATCCACATGATTTTTACGGCAATTTCTGTGAACTTCCCTTTACATACATTTCAATGGGACGTATTTCTATCAAACGGAACTATGTGCATTATGACGTGCGCCCTGTTATGCGTATATTTATATGGGTCTCAGGGCTCATGTCTTAATGCACATAGTTCCGTAATGGTGGAAAAGCGGTGTTGCCAGCTCTCACTACTCCCGCATCAGGCCGGACGGGTCATTACGGGCGGGGACTTTCCGATTCCGGTGCGGCACACCTACGCTGCCGTCCTTAGGAAAAAAACCGTATGAGCCTTCAGGCGCTGCCAAATTTCCTCTGATAAAATACGAATTTAATAGGGAAATTGTAAATATTTTTCTTGCAATTTTTCAGACTATTTTGTTCCAAATTTAATCCAAAATATCTGGAAATTTTAAGGAAAGATATACATTAATTTTGTCAAAAATACACTTGTCATCCGGGGAAATTTGGCAACTCCTGAATGCTCATACGGCGTTCTTCCGTAGGACGACAGTACGAAAGCGCGGCGCTCGTCAAGATAATGAGGCATTTATCTGTTGTATAAATAATGGAAAAAGTGAATTACTCCCTCGCTCGAGCTCGATAGTCATTTTCTGGTCGTCGCACGGTGGACCGAGTCAATAGGAGATATCGGACAAAATCGGGAAACTTTCAAAGCTTATTTTTTCGAAAACATGAAACAAAATAAATTCAAGAATGGTTTCATTGGTTTTTTCGTAAAATTTCCTTTTAGAAACACTCCTTGAAATTGAATTTGCCACAAAATAAACATCGAATTTTGAAATTTTAGCCAAAATTTACTCGTCCGATCTCCTCTAGTAGCTCGTTCCTCTGTGCGTCGTGGGTCTTTTCACGAGAGAACACAGTGGCGTGGCGTGCCTTGCGATCCATCGATATTTCCCCATTTGAAGCTGTGGTAAAAAATCGATTATTGAGGTCTTCGCTGTGAACACCCTGCTTATCGATACTTTTCCATAGGTTTATATGGTAGATCAATCGATATATCGCAATGCACGCTTCGCCACCGGAGAACAGGGGCCCGAGCACGTGACACTTTTCCAGCGAGTTTTTTCGACTCGTCACGGGCGGCGATGTTGCCGCCTCGGCAAGCTGGAAAGGGAAGGAAAGTTTTGAGGCACAAGATTTTTAAAAATTTCCTTTTACAGGGCATTTAGGGCACATTAAAAATAAAACAAATTCTTCAGCCAATTGATGGGTTCCATCAGCTAGGTCCTTTAAGTCTTGAGGAAGACCTTAGTTTTAAAAAAGCTCTTATGCGACAAGATACCGGCTGATCATTAAATGAGGGGCTTGGAGGACAAGGCGCATAAGTGCATTTTTTGAAAATGTTGAAATATTAATGATTTAAAGTAGAAATAGTCTTACTGCATAATTTGTGAAAAGTTCGCTGCCGAATTCAAATTTTTAAGCATCAAAAAGTCAGTTTGAACTTTCTTTCAACATGAGGATCCATGTAATTTCAACACTTGAAACACGAATTTCTCGAAACTGCAAAAACAGCACTTATGCGCCTTGTACACCAAGCCCCTCAAATTGAGCTCTTGCATGTTTCCAGAATTTGCGACATAAGTGCTGATTCCCACGCAAAATTTTGGGAGAAGTATGACGGTGCCACTGGTTTTCTCTGATATCAACTCCAAATCTCAATAAAAGCCCTTAAGGTTGAGGCCGTAATGGAGGCCTCAACCCACGCTACCCCGGGAGTCCACCTCTATATAAATTCGAGCTCTTCATGCAAAGACAGGGAGCAAATACGTGAACAAGGTTGCCACTTTATTTGGAGACTCCGAAGCTGAAAACACGGCAACCCTGCTAATCTACTTCCTCCCTATCTTTGCGCATAGAGTTTGTCTCGATACAGAGGTGGATTCTAAGGGTAGCGTGGGGTATCCTTGATTTTGAGAGCTTTTTTTAAGCTTTTTAGTTGATTACAGAGTAAACCAGAGGCACCATCGTGCTTCTCCTGAAATTTTACGCAAGTCGGAGTACGTAAATCGCAAATCCCTCACACATACAAGAGCTCCACTCCTCTGGAACGTGGACTTGACTATCCTCTCTGTGAACCCCTCGAATTTTGAGGTAACAAGCGGGCGCAAGACTAGGCAGGCAGGAAGAATAATTTGATGGAGAATAACTGGGTTGGAGTGCGGCCAAACTATTTACACGCATTCATTAAATTGTTGCCACGTCGGGGCCAGCCAGATGGGTGCGTTTCGTTTCTGTTTCCATTTCCATCGCTCGCGCAAAAACTTAGCGAAGAAAAGATGAAAAACCTCCATCAGTGGGCTCATTATTGGACGTGTTTCTGCCAAATGAAACTATGTGCATTATAACGTGAGCCTTTTTATGCATATATTCTTACGGGTCTCAGGACGCATGTCTTAAGGTGAATCCAGGGTTCGATTAGGGATAATTCAAGATTAGAGAGAGACCAGTCACCACTAAGAATTTCACTGTCCTTCGACGATTACTGAAATAATATTGTTCAAATTACAAAAAGCAGATCCACAATATATAGATTATTTTTTGCTTGATTTTTTTGAG